AGGATGAGTTGGAGGTAGTTTGGGCCACCAGCTTGGAGACTTTGGGGGAAACTTTGAACTTTCCCACCGCAGAAGAGCGGGAGGCACCCAGATCTGCCCTCCTCCCTCTTCTTCCCCCCCCCATCCCCTGATTGCTGGAGGCACTCAGAATCTTGCCCTGTCTTTGTTTCAAAGGTGGTTCAGAAGCTGACCCAGATGATCGGGAAGAACGTGAAGCTGTACGACATGGTGCTTCAGTTCCTCCGGACGCTCTTCCTCCGGACGCGGAACGTCCATTATTGCACGCTGAGGGCGGAGCTCCTGATGTCGCTCCACGATCTGGACATCAGCGAGATCTGCACAGTGGACCCCTGCCACAAGGTACCAACGCAAGAAACAGCTGTGCAGCTCTACATTTAATTTTTACTTCTTTGTATTCCGTCGTTCTGTACTTTTTTTTACAAAGAACTCAAAACGACAAACATATCCGACACAAATTCCTCCTCCTCCTGTTTTCTGTTCAGCGACGACCCTGTGAGGTGGGTTGGTCTGAGAGAAAAAGAGGGCCGGCCCAACTGGCTTTCATGCCTAAGGCGGGACTAGAACTCACTGTCTCCTGGTGATTGGCCCAAAGTCACACAGCTGGCTTTCATGCCTAAAGTGGGACTAGAATTCACTGTCTCCTGGTATTTGGGCCTAAGTCATCCAGCTAGCTTTCAGGATTAAGGTGGGATTAGAACTCACCATCTCCTGGTGATTGGCCCAAAGTCACACAGCTGGCTTTCACGCCTAAAGGCGGGACTAAAACTCACCACCTCCATCTTTCTAGCCTCACCACTTCCCTTTCCAGGGGCCTGCATTCTTTCAGGAGCTGGCCAGCTCTCCTCCTGTTCACAGCTTATGTCAAATCTCCCCCCCCCCAAAAAAAATATTATTTTTTGCTCCCTTGACAGTTTACGTGGTGCCTCGACGCTTGCATTCGGGAGAGGTTTGTTGACAACAAACGGGCGCGGGAGCTGCAGGGCTTCCTCGACGGAGTGAAAAAGGCCCAAGAACAAGTGCTGGGGTAAGTGCTGAAGACTCTGGAGGCAGGCTTAAGAGGCTTTTTCCGCTGCAAAAACGGTTAAAACCACTGAAAGACCCAAATGAGGAGGGATTCTACCTTGGGGAAAGCGAGCCTCGAAAAGTAGCTTGCTACAGTGATGCATTTGATGCGTTTGTTTGTTTGTCTCTCCTTCCTTAGGGACCTGTCGATGATCTTGTGCGACCCGTTTGCCATCAACACCTTGGTTTTGAGCACGATCCGGCATTTGCAGGAGCTGATTGGTCAAGAAGTGTTACCCAGGGTAAGTTAGACAGCATTATCCTCTGGATAGGATTGGCCCCGCGGGGTTAACCTCAGGGAGAAATGATGAAACGGACCTTCCCATCGGTTGTGGAATCCTGCAACACAATTACAAAGGGTGGACTTTGCATTGCGATATCGCATCGGGGTTGGTTCCCAACACCCACGCAGCCATCGTAGCTTATTTTTCACTTGTTCATTGAATGAGTAGTTGACCCAACGGATTTTAGCATCCAGAGAATTCACTCGCTTCCATGCCCGATGTTGTTAAAGAAGAGACTAGAAATCCCCTATCTGCGATGGTGTAAGTTCTCCTGCTTGAGCAGGGGGCTGGACTAGAAGACCTCCAAGGTCCCTTCCAACTCTTCTTCTTCTCCTAAATTTTCAGGAAAGCCCAGAACTCTTACTACTTCTGAGGATGCTGTCCCTGGGGCAAGGGGCTTGGGATGTGATTGACAGCCAGATCTTCAAAGAACCCAAACTGGTAAGGTACCACCGGGAACGCCATCGCTGATGGTCTTGAAGGTCCATTCCTTCCTTAGCAGCTATATTCTTCTAAATGGACAATGCTCTGTCCAGAAAGACCTTGGGGATAAGATTAGGCGACCTTCCACTGCCTTTCTGTGCCTCAGGAGGTGGATTTGATCACCAAATTTCTGCCAATGTTGATGGCCTTCGTGGTGGATGACTACACCTTCACTGTGGATCAGAAGCTGCCTTCGGAAGAGAAGGGTCCAGCTTCTTACCCCAGCACCATCCCTGAGTTGTTTCCAAAGTAAGTACCTTTCAGTTTGGGAACTTTTTGTCCAACAGTCAAAACCTGGTGCTCAGCAGGGCTGAAGAAACTGGGCCCATTGAGAATTGTGAGTTAGAAAAGGGCATTAAGAGGGGAGGGAAATGGTAAGGCACCTAGTTAGACAGCAGGAGACGGCAAGTTCTAGTCCCACCTTAGCCATGAAATGTAGCTGGGTGACTTTGGGTCGATCACCAGGAGATGGTGAGTTCTAATCCCACCTTAAGGCATGAAAGCCGGCTGGGTGGGGGTGGGCCTGCCCGCCCCGCCCCTTCCTCAGCCCAGCCCACCTCACAGGGCTGTTGTGGGAAAAGTAGAAGAAGAAATAATAAAGACAGCACCCAATGAAAGTGCGTGAGTGAACGAACAGGCAAATGACCGAGAGCAAATGAATAAATGAGTGAGTGAACGAACGAACGAACACGGCAGCCGAAGCTCTTTCTCGCCTGTCCCAGATTTCTCCAAGAACAGCGGATCGCCTGTGAGGTGGGCCTATACTACGTGCTCCACATCACCAAGCAAAGGAACAAAAACGCCCTGCTTCGCTTGGTCCCAACCCTGAGTAAGTCCCCATGTCCTTATCTCAGTGAAAAGGCAGAACACAGGCCAAGCGTCCTCCTGGCACAGCTGGCTGTTTAAGCTAGGAAGAAATTGCAAGACTAAAAAAAAATGAAGGCATTGTGGTGCAATCGCCGTGGATTCCACCACCCTCTCTCCTCCTCCTCCTCCTCCTCCTCCTCCTCCTCCTCCTCCTCTCTTTAGAAAGAGGGTGAGAGAAAGAGGTCCCCCTAGCGAACAACCGGTTCTCTGCATGGATGCCACTCCATTCTGGGCCTGGGCAACAAAAAATTAGCTATCGGTTTTGTCGAAGCGGTGCAAACCGGTTGAATCCCACCACTGGGTCCCCCCCCCAACCTTCTCAAAGTCACCCTGTCTCTTTCTCTCTCTCTCGGCACTTTGCAGCGGAGACCTTCAACGACCTGGCCTTTGGGGACATTTTCCTGCACCTCTTCACAGGCAACCTTACCCTGCTGGCTGACGAATTTGGGCAGGACGATTTCTGCGCGGTCCTTTTCGACCGCTTCTTCCTGCCTGCCTGCCCCAGGTAACACCCGTCTCCTTTCCAGAAGGTGACCACGTTCTGTCTTTCCTCAGGAAGGGGAAGGGAAGGGAAGAGAAGGGGGCAAAAAGAAGGGAGGGAAGGGAAGGAGGAAGGAAAAAGAAAAGAAAGGAAGGCTAAGGAAGGGAAGGAAAGAAAGGCTAGGGGAGGGAAGGAGGGAAAGGAAAGGAAAAGGAAAGGAAGGCTGGGAAGGCAAGGAAAGGGAAGGAAGCCTAGGGGAGGGAAGGAAGGAAGGAAGGAAGGAAGGAAGGAAGGAAGGAAGGAAGGAAGGAAGGAAGGAAGGAAGGAAGGAAGGAAGGAAAGAAAGACAAGGAAAAGGAAATGAAAGAAAGAAGGAAGGAAGGGGTGAAGGGATGAGAAGGGAAGAGAGGCAAGGAAAGAAAAGGCAGCCTAGGGGATGGATGGATGGATGGATGGATGGATGGATGGATGGAAGGAAGGAAGGAAGGAAGGAGAAAGAAGAAAGGGAAGATAGTTAGATCTTCTGATTGGGAGAAGCTGCAGGGCTTCAAAACCGGGGAACCCACAGTCTGTTCCCACCACGTCCCAGGAAGGACAACGTCCATCGGCACCTGCTGAGGCTGCTGCTTCACCTCCATCACAAAGTCTTCCCTGCCAGGCTGGAGTCTCTGCAGAAGGCCTTGGAACCAACCAAGCAGGTAGGAGGCGAGGAGAGGGAGGGAGGGGGGGAATTTGGGGCCGCATTGAGCTCGTGACTCAAGCGCTGCTCTTCCTCCAGGCCAGCAATTTACCATTTTTTTTAAAAAAAAAAAACAAAAAACAAATCTCTTCTCCTTGAAACAGAGCAGCGAAGCGGTGAAAGAGCTTTACAACCAGCTGGGCGAGAAACTGGAAGTCCGCAAGCCTAGCCCCGTCCCAGAAGCTGAGGCTCCACCGATGGATTTGCCCCTCCCAACAGTATCTTCTACCCCGGTTCCACCATAGATGCACCCTCTCTTTCCCTCCTCAATTCCCTCTGGGAGAGCCAGGCTCATTCCTGGCGTCAGGGGACAAAGGTTGGACACACTCCACTTGCTTGCGACACGGTCACCTGGCCAACCTTGAACGAAGCTACTCAGATGCCTACTTCGCATCTCATCCCACGGCGTGGGTGTCTTCCAGGAAGGGTGCTGCACAGTTAAAGATAGTGGGTTATTGTTGTTGTTATTGTTTTGAGGGGGAGGATCGCTTAGGGCAGGGGTCTCCAACCTTGGCGACTTTTAAGCCTTGTGGACTTCAACTCCCAGAATCCCTCAGCCAGCCGGTTGCCGAAGTCCACGAGTCTTCAGTTTGCCAAGGTTGGGGACCCCCGATTTAGGGGTCTGGATTAGCCCTGGAGGGGCAGGGCAGGTTTAAATCCAGATGTTATTTTTGTAAAAAAACAAAAACAAAAAACACCTGTGTGTTCTTGTGTGCATATAGGAAACGCACAAAACAAACGGTAAAAGGTGGGGAATAATTTGTTCACTCCTTTTTTGCTTTGGGTTTGTTTTTTTCCTAGTGTAGGAAAAAATAAACTTTCCAAGCCCTGCCTCTGTTTTGGCACGTGCTTTTTTTTTTTCCTTCCCTTCCTCTCTTTCGTTGTGGTTGATTTACTCTTTGCGTCCGCGGTAACTGGATCCCTTGGAGGTTTTTAAGAAGAGACTGGACAACCACTTGTCTGAAATGTGTAGGGATCGCCTGATTGAGCACGGGGCTGGACTAGCAGACCTCCAAGGTCCCTTCCAGCTCATTCTGTTACAGATTGCACCTTCTCTCTCTCTCACACACACACACACACACCCCTCCAAACTGGGGATCAGTTAGGAAGCCTTGCTGGGCACCCCCAAGCTGGCAGTGCCAGAGAGAAACCACATTCGTTTTCTTTAGACGCTTCTGTCTTTACCGGATGATGTTAGCAATAAGGACAAAGAAAGGCTTCCAAACTTTGCAAAATCAAGTAGAAACTAGGTCGGTTTCAGGTTGTTGAAAGCTTTAATGAGCCACGTCTCCAAACCAAGACCGAAGAGACACTGAGACATTTGCAGGGAGATGCCTAAAGTTCCCCCCAGAGCCTTACATTTCCAGCAAAAGGAGCTATTATCAGCAATAGCTTCTTTTTTCCCCATTTTCTTCTCTCTTTTTTTTAGCAACCCAATATCCTCTGCTACAATCTTCTCCAATCAAGCACATTTCCAGAGCTGGGGAAACTCCAGTTTTAAAACTCCATAGGGAAGGTATTTTTTTCAAACGGGAGCCTTCCGCTCGCCCGCTGGATGCCCTTGGGAAGGTAGCCTTTCCCCCCAGCATGCATTCCATTTACCCGGGAAGAAAAAAAAAACTCAGATCAGTTCTTTCCCCTTGAAAAGAGCACCGTGGAATAAACTTTCCTTTTTTTCCCCTCTTTTTTTTTTTTTCATTCCGTTTCGTTGAGTCCCTGTTCAAGGTCTCCGGCATCCCCAACATTGACGTCTCTCGCTTGCTCGGCTTGATCCGGCTCGCCGGCGCCCGTAGGGCATGTTTCGTCTTTGGGGCTGGTGCCCGAGGCTGCTGCAAAGGAACTGGATCCCAATTCCCCCTGGGAACCGTCTATCGGAATCCCCTCGGGCATTTTTTTCTCGGCCAGAAACTGCGTGGCGGTTTTCCACCCCAAGGGAAGGCCTTTCGTGTTTAGGTTTTCGCCGGAAAGATACTGGCTGACGGTGGGGATGACGATGGCGCTCTTAATTTGAGGGATACGGTCCGTATCCACCCCTGGCCTCTTGGCGTCTCCCCTTTCTTTCCCAACAAGCTTCTCATTTGGGATTCTTTTCCTGGCCAACATTGGATCCGTTGGTTTCTCGTGGTGCTCCTTTGCCGACACGGGCCTCAACCTGGGAGAGTTCCTCAAAGGAGCAGGGAAGCCTCTGAGTTTGCTCCAAGCCTCCGTGGCTGGCTGCTGCTCAACCCGGTCGTCTCTCTTTGCCGAACAGCGCTTTGACCTCTGGAAAGCTTCGGTTAAGGGCCCGGCTTTTTCAGAGACGGGGTGATGCTGCAAGTGAGGGAAGTAAGAGTTGACGGTCGGGATGGACGGGGTGTTTCTAGCCGGCGCGTGGTCGTTGTCGTTCACCAGGATCAGCTTGTTGATCTTGTAGGTCAGGCTTCGGAGGGCTTGAGGGGGGTTCCTTCTCAGGAAGTCACTGCCGACCGGGCAGTTGGCATCTGCGGTGGCATTTCCCCTGGGGGTGAAAGAGGGGCGAAGGAATGATGGCAAAACAAGAAGCGGGTAGCCATCCTAGATGGAGATGGGATTCGGGGTCATCTGCTTGTTGAAGTCACCAGGGTAAAAGGAATGAATCAGGTTGAGGGTTTATGGAAATGAGGAGGACTATGGGGTCCCTCATACTCTCTGAGCTTAGTTATTTACTTGCCGATGTTTTGTTACCCAATTAGGTAACATCATCAGTGCTAGAAAGGACTGCAATAACCCCACTCCCTTTCAGCATTGATGATGTTACCTAGTTGGGTAATGAAATGTCTGCAACCAAGCTCAGAGAGCACCAAGGACCCCACAGTCCCCCTCCTCCTCATCTCCACAAACCTTGTTCCCTTCTAACACTGATGATGTTCCCTAGCTGGGTCATGAAACATCTGCAAGAAGATCACCAAGCTCAGAGAGCACCAAGGACCCCACAGTCCCCCTCCTCCTCCTCTCCACAAACCTTCCCTTCTAACACTGATGATGTTCCCTAGCTGGGTCATGAAACATCTGCAAGAAGATCACCAAGCTCAGAGAGTCGTTGAGGCCACTTGGAGGTTTATCTGTGTCCTAATGTGTCACAATAAACCTCCAAATGGCTTCAAAGACCCTCCAAAAGAAGGCAAAGGACCAGCGGTCTGCAAGGAGTATAAATCCTTCCATTCCCCACCATCCAGTCAGAGCTGAAGAAGCTCCTTGGATGAGAAGTGAAACGTCTTCGAAGGAAAAACAAAGTCCAGTTGCCTCCTGAAAAAAAGCAACTTTGGGAGGTCTACGTGTCTTAAAAAATGCCCCGGTTCAGAAACTCTGATCTAGGCAGTCGTGTTTGATGGAGGCAGGTCCTGGCTATGCTGGAGAGGAGAAGAAATAGCAGGTACGCTTCTCACGTTCTCAAGTTTAAGGGCCACGATCAGACAAAACCCCGGTGACCCAGGGCTATAGGAGCAGATACCTTTGGGATTTGCGTGTGTCCCACTGACAGCGAGGCATCCAGACCGACAGCTGAGTTGACCTTTGCGGCTTCGGATCGACCTTTCCCTGGTAGATGGAGCGCAAATTCTGCTTTGTATTTTCTGGGGGGGAGTGGAAATTCGGTTTTCCTGAGAAGCAAGGAGAAAAGAAATCGGCAGGATTGGGCCATTGTCATCCGATGTTTTGGCTTTCCTAAATCTCCTCCTGACCGATCTGATCCCTTCCCGCCCTTCGCTGGGAGAAGGCCCAATGGTACTCTTCTGCCTTCATCCTTCAATTTGTCCACCGCTCTGGTTGATCTCAGCCAGCCTGGTTTAGCTACGTAAGGGGGAATGTCTGCAGAACTACAGCCAACGGGAGAAATAAAGGAACGTTCTGGGATGGCAAATGAATTTGGAGGCCTCCAAGAAGGATTCTTTTGAGAGGGAAGGAATGCAAGGCTGTCTAAGACATGGTTTCGTTTGATTTACCTGGGTACACAAACTGGAATTCAGAGACGGTCTGATATTTCCTCTTCTCCACAACGTTGGGGTATTTTATTTTTCTGCGCGGGAAGACAGAAGGCAAAGAACACAATTGCTTTCCAAATCAGTCGTCCCCTCTACTTAATACACAATCCTCCCAGCTTGTGTCGTGCTGGGTTGCTTCTTCGTGATGGACCGGCGGACCCTTCCTATCACATTTCTGTTGATTGCCACTATCTAGACAGCTTACATAATTATAAAAGCCAAGAGGAGTTTGGAAACACCTCTCTCTAACCGACACATTTTCTTAAAAGGCCTAATAATTTATTATTATTATTATTTTGCCAACATTAAACTAGCTGTCCTTCATTGCCTATAAAAACCAAGTTTAAAAAATGGGGTTTCTTAATGATCACCCATATCTGTTTGTGTTATCTATCTATGTTTCTATCCATTCCTTTCTCTCCATTCTATCATCTATCTATAATTCCTTCTTTCCATTCTCTCTCTCCTTCCCTTGCTCCCTCCCTTCTCTCATTCCTTCCTTCCATCCAACCTTCCTTTCTTCCTTTAATCTCTCCTTCTTTCCTTCTCTCCTTTCTTTCCTTCTTTCCTTCCTTCCTTCCTTCCTCCACCCTCCCTCCTTCAATTCATTCTCCCTTCCTCCCTCCTTCCCTCCCATCCTTACTTCCATCTTTCTTTCTTTCTTTCTCTCCCTCCCTCTCTCTCTCTCTCTCTCTCTCTCTCTCTCTTTCTTTCTTTCTCAAAAATTTGGTAGCTACTGCCACCTAGCTGGGCATTTTAAGTATACAGATTGGCTATCAAAGTAATTCAACAAGCAGATGGCTAGCTTTTGTTAGACTTTATATTACCTTTTGTTTTCTCTGCTGTTGCTAACATCTTTAGGTTTTTCTGATTGCTCCGTTCTCCCTTTCCTGGGTGTTTTTTTCTTTTCAGTCTCCAGTTTGGCATTCTGGATCTCTCCCTGCATTTTGAAAAAATAAAAAAACAGAAGAATGGTACATGAGTGCTATATGATCTACCTCTGCTTCAATATTCTTCAATAACCATGGTTACCTGGGAATTGAATACTAGTTTCACCTCATACTAAGCAAGGTTTGCTTAAAAGGATACCGAAATAGCAACGCGTTATCCAGGTTCTTCTCCCACTCACCAAGTTGTCTGTCTCCGAAGATGCGTTTCCAGTGTCCTCATTGCTACTGCAACACAACTTGGTGGTGCTGTCTTGGCTTTCTGGTGCCAACCTGGATGAGACACACACAACATTTCACAAATGTCATGTTTACTCAAACCAAAATCACCACCTTGTTGTCCGAAGTTCAGCCATGCATTTTGCAAAGCATGCCCTTCAAAGATCTCCAGAACTTTAGGAAGCCTCCAACTTCAGCAGAATGTCCCCCAGTGGCTTAGAGTCCAGATCTATTTAAGTCCACTGCTGGGCCTTAATAGGAAGCTGGAAGTACCTGGGTAGATTAGACATTTCAGACTGCAAGGGAGAAGATTGTTCCTAGTGATCAACCGAACCAGGGGTCTTCAAGCTTGGCCCTTTTATGTCTTGTGGGCTCCAACTCCCAGAATTCCTCAGCCAGCATGCCAAATAATACACAACAACAAGGAAGAACTGGGGAATTATAGACGCTAGAAGCTTCTTGTGGTTTTATTTCTGTTATAAACTGGTCAGGGACCATTAAATGCATCTCATTGTTAGGCTCAACAAGCTCCTGAGTAGCTAAATACTGGGTTGAGCATTTTAGTTTTGAAGTTTGGATCCTCCCCTCAGGAGAACACAACATTATTATCCTCCCGACGAGCCTCAAGTTAATCCTCACAATGATGAGACTGAACAAAATAACATTTGAAGGCCCTTCAACAGCCAGAAGCTCCTTCAAGGTGGGGAGAGTTGACCGCAGCCAACATGAGAGTCCCTATATAAAGCCTTCGGTCAGGCTTAGGAGAAGAGGGGGAGATAGTCTTCTGCTCGTTTTTCCAAAGTCAGTTGGAGCTACTCAAGGTTCTGGTCTCCCTTGCAAAGGTCAGCCTTACCCTTTGGAGTCAAGACTATGAATGGAACAGCTCCTGCCGTGCACAGTAAGATGCGTGCGTTGGATTCTACTCCTCTTTTTCTTGCTACGCTTTCTCTTCTTATGTCGAGGCTGCTTAATGAACTGGGCTGAGTTGGGCTCCACGGCGGTGGGTTTCTTGTCCTTCATCAGGGCAATCTTGGATGGACTTTTCTGCCGTGCCTTGTTTCCCATGGGCCTGCGGACACAAGTGAGGAAGGAAGGAAGGAAGGAAGGAACCAAGTTAAGATTTTAATGGCTCTTCTCATTCCGACGTACTTCATCTGAAGCAGTGCTCCTTAGTTGGAGCAAAAGCTTGGAAACTGGTGATGAAGGTTAGTGGGGGTCGCTCTAGGGGACCAATTCCTTCTACCCCCAGATTACCTTGAAATCTGACTTTTTTTTTCCGAAGGTACACGGAAGAAGCAACAGTTAAGCAATGGGGATTTTGACTTGGCCTTCACAGAATGATTTGCTAAGCATAAGTTCTCAGGCTGTTTTGTCTCTTCACCAATAGACCTTCTATGACTTAGAAACAAATGATCTCCACAGAGAACTTGAGCAACACCTGTTCGATTTCCCCATGACAAGAAGCCAAGTCAACAATTGACCACCCTGAAGATTAAAGATAGACTTGGACCTTCTCCTCATGACACCTAGAACTATTTTGCCATTGCAACCATGATCTGGCAAAGCAGATCATGAAGAACCCAGCAAAAGTGACAACTGGCAACGATGACAGTGATTGTCTGTAGGGCGTTGGGATTTATCACCTTTCCTTGAAAACTGACTTTTGGTAATGTAGAGTAGCTCTCTAGATAGGAAGTCAAGGAGATGCCAGAAGAAAGAAACAAAAGACTCAGTGATGAGTCTGTAGATCAAGGACATGATGGACAGCTCTGGCTGGTGAACACTCAAACACTTCAGCAAGTTTGTTGATGACTGAGGTCTTGAGAATGGAGAAGAACAGCAGGTCTTGGAGAAAAAGAAAGTAGGGGAACAATTCCTTCTCCTACCACCAGAAAAAAAAAAGAACTTTTTGAAACAATTGGCATTTCACTCCTTGGCCCATAAAACCTTTGATGTGTTACATGGCGGTAAAGTTTTGGGGGCTACCAAGCCAAGATGGGCTGAATGAGCAGTTCTTCCATGGTTTCCCCTTCATCTCCCTCTCAAATAAATCTTGGTTGTAGCTGAATATACTACTCTTATCACCAACAAGGAAGCAAAACCAGAGTTTTGCTAATCTAGATGGGGTAAACTGCATTGTTCATCAGAATCGGGCAAGTATCGTGGCTTGCTCTATCTTGCCTGTCCTTGAAAACTTGACGAGGACAAAGAGGCAGAATTAATTTCCATCCTCTGGGCAGTTACAATCTTGATCCAAAGCTGAGTAAGACAGAGATCGCCCCCAGCCCTAAGCATTTCTCCTGGACTTCCTTAATCCTGTTGCTGCTGCTTTTGTAGAGTTAAACCTGACCTGGAAAGGTTTTGTGAAATTGTGTGTTGGCTCCTGAGCCCATCTGCCAAGGGACTTCCTTTCCTTGGTGGTATCTCAAATTGAATGGCTCTGCTTCACTGCTCCCCAACATAAGGATTCCGTATAAATTGGATTTAAAACAAAAAAAAGCTAGTTTCCCACTTTGGGCTAAACCAGGATTTTCAAACCATTGTAAGTTGACTAAACGTCAGTGGCCAGATTGACAGTACTCTAACCGCAACCCAATCCGCTCACTTAAAATAGAGGTGAAATGACCATTCCTGATCTTAAAGGTGGACCTGAAACCACTTGCTCCTATAATCAAATCCTTTCCTGTCGTATCTTGAAAAGACACCCCAAACCTATCCATAAGACAAAGAGAGGAACATCGTAAAACGAATCTCCATGCCCAAGATGAACAGAGTTTTTGTGAGGATCTGAAGCAGGGATATGTCGGATGGACTTACTTTAGATTTGTTGCTGGTATCACAGCAGAGGCACAAGGAGATACTCAACAACAAGAGCAAAAATCTTGGGTAAAATAGGGCCATGGGTAAAAAGGGTTGGGCGTTCAAGATCCAAAGATGGGATATAAGGTGAAGCTGTCTCTGGATCTCAGCAACTGCCTCTGTTGCTATGGAAACAGGATTCTACCATCCTGGCTGGTCCTCTCTTCGCTTTTTTGCATCTATTCAGGTTTTCTAACGATGCATCATTCAAGCATCCTACTGGGTTCTTTTTTAGATTGGTATTTTTAAACAGAGAAGAAAGGCAGTCCCAAACAGGTAAGGAAGCAGTCAACATATAAGGAAATAGGGATTTATTTTGACAGGCACTCTGGTACGTGTGAAATGATCCGCCTTAGCTTTGTTTATAGAACGCTCCTTTAAAAAAATAAGCAAGAAATAAGAAACTGGGGGGGGGGTTTAAGCTCCCTAATTTATTAGAGGATGAATAGATTACCTTTTACATCAACCTGGCATCTGATGAGGTCATGAAGACATCCATATTGCTTGCTAAGTTGGAAGGCAGAAGTGTTTGTCATTGATTTCTTTCTGGCTAGGTATTTTATTTCATTCTTAAATTGAATTGAATTTATTATTTCATTCTTCTTTATTCTTGGGGGTGGTTAGATAAACTCAGACTGACTCTAATGTTTTGGGCAAACCCTGCAAATGGATTTATTTTGTAACCAGTTCACTTTCCTTGAATTCAGCATACTAAGGCAAGAAAACTTCAAAGCAAAATCCGAAGGTCTCCTGGTTTGAGCAGAGGGTTGGACTAGTAGACCTCTGAGATCCCTTTTAGTTTTATCGCTCTATGTTCTAAATGTTGTTTCCATAAAACAAACGAAGAGTCAAACTTAAGCCAACTTTTTAACTCAAAAGAAAAAAAAAAAGGATTTGGTAAAATTTCGTTTTATTTTCCCATTCTTTGCCATGAAGACTGTCACTTGAACAGAACAGAATAACAAAGTTGGAAGGGTCCTTGGAGGTCTTCTAGTCCAACCCCCTGCTCAGACAGGAAACCCTACAACATGTCAGACAAATGGTTGTCCAATCTCGTCTTAAGAACCTCCCGGGATGGAGCACCCACAACTTCTGGAGGCAAGCTGTTCCATGGGTTAATTGTCCTCACTGTCAGGAAATGTCTCCTTATTTCTAGGTTGAATCTCTCCTTTTGATCAGTTTCCATCTGTTGCTTCTTATCCTGCCTTCAGGTGCTTTGGAGAAGAGGTGGACCCCCTCTTCTTTGTGGCAGCCCCTCAAATAGTAGAACACTGGTATCCCGTCTCCCCTTTTTTCAGTTCTTCCTTTATTTTAGCCTCCAGTGTCACCCCCCACCACCACCCCTTTGATCTCCAGCAACAGAAACAGGAACAATTCATGATTGGAAACCAGGTTGAGCTTGTTTTGGGCTGGCTAAGGTGAGTCTTCAGCCTGAGTTAGCATCTCCCTCCCTGCAGTGGACCTAGGCTTTAAAAAATGTCAAGGTATTTCAAGAGCATGTCGATTGAATATGGGTTAAATCCGCAGGGAGGAGAGGTCTACATGTCAATCAAGGAAGAGAAATTGAAAATATTCACGCCGGCAGTCTCTTCGTAGCAACCAAGTGAGATATATTATTCTAGCTATATTTTATTTTTCTCCATGGAGGTGGGGGGGGGGAAGCTGTGTCCATTTTGCAAAAAAAGGATTTCTCTCTCTTTCTCTATGTGTTTCTGCATCCTGCAGTTCTTGCTTCCTCCAGAGAGAAATCTCGCTGGAAGAGCGGAAAAGCCTTTGTCTCATGGGCGCGCGTTCCTGCAAAAAGCATAAATGCATCAGACGCCACTGGAGAAGGATGGAGGCAGGTTGCAGTCTGAAAGTGAGCTGAACAAGCGAGCCATGGCTTCCTACCCCACGAGTCTGCTCGCTGGTTTTGCAGCTGGCCAGGATCAGAATTTCTGGGGGCTTGATTTGGGTGCAGAAAGGAGAAATTGCTAGCAAAGGTCGTCCTTCTCTGGCCTGCCAGCATCCATGACCCCCAGGCCCGATGAAGTGGGCTCTGAGGTGCCACAGATGGACCCGGCTGTCCTCATCTTCCTCCTGTATCTGATGATCATCCATGAGCTGGTGAGTGGGTGGATGGCGTATCAGAAGCAGGCCACCAAGCCGAAAAAGCAGACCGGTCCTCCTCGGTCAGGCAGGTAAGGTGTTTGTGTGTTTTGTGGGTCTGTGTGCGCCGAAGGGGGCTCCATGCTGAGTGAACCATCTTGGCATCTTTCGATGAGGGTAGACAGATGCCAGCTTTGGCTTCATCGCTCTTTTTGCAGACCTTACTTGGAGACGCTGCCATTGGGGCTGGGATTTTATTTTATTTTTACACCCGAACAGTGTGCTTTCCCACTAAGCTAGGGCTCTGCTGCTGCTATCTCCAAACAAGCAGAGATTCTAGTCCTCATGGTTTGGGAGAAAGGACAGAATTAAGAAAGAAAAGATGGGAGTGCTGGAAGGCACTTTATTTTGAGCCAGGCCAGCATCTACCCAGTCCAGCAAAATCAATTCATTCTCACTTGAAAATATTGAGGGTTGAGTAAGATGCAGAAGGGCGGGTGTTTTCCCAATGATTTCCACATGCTTTGAAAAAGTAAGATTCTAGTCCTCGTGGCTCTGAATAGAGAACAGAACAACAGAACTAAGTCGGAATTTATTCAAACACCAATGTTCTTAGACTCATAGGGTTTCAATTTACAGTTCTGTGTCGCTTCACCACAGTGTTACTACCGAGTTGTGAGTTTGTGAGGTGTTTCTGAACTGTAGCCCCCGGCAGGTGATGAAACACACAAACATCAACACACACACACTTGCATTCACACATTATCACCCTCCTCTGCGCCTAGTTAGGCTGGATTGGTGAAATCGGTCCAGGCACCTGCAGCAGCTAATGAATATTGAAACTTTTGTGCAAATCCACTTTTTGTTTTGACAAGGAAAAGAAATCCTTAGAAAGTGCACAGAGCAAAGCCACAAAGACGACAAGGGGTTTAGAAGCTAAACTGCATGATGAATGGTTAAGGGAACCAGCTATGTCTAGCCCAATGAAGAGAAGGATTGGGGTGACATGATAACTGTCTTGAGGGGCTGTCCACAATCCTGGACAATTCCTACCTTCTTTCTATTTGGTGTCCTTTTCAGCAGCTCTTCCCAAGGGAACCGTGCCAGCGTGTCCCACTCGTTGGCTTATCCAGTGCCACGAGACCGATGCAAGGACTGGAGGAAGCCGGGCAGAATCATCCGGAAAGCGTAAAACTGAGTTTACGATCTCAACCCACCAGGTTTGGCTAAGGAAGCTGCGAAGAATGTGGCTGATTGGAGTTCTGCACCTTGATCTGGCTGTGCGGCTGTCCTGTCTTTGCTATGACTGATCTCAGAGCATCTTCCAAACACCTTAGCCTTGTCAGGCATCCCACCTGACACTGAATGAAACAGGTATCGGTAAATAGCGGACCACAATTGACACAGTGATTTCAGCATCCTCCAGAGTAACCAATGAACTGATCCTCCCAGATGTACCTTCAGAAGCATGTGGCAGAATGCAGAAGGGAACTGGTGACTATGGAACAGGCCAAGATGGACAAAGAAGGGGACGCAAGAAAGTAGTAAGTCCCTGAAGGAATTAGAGTACTAAAACATTGGGAGATGACAGTGGAAATTGAGGTACAAGGGGGTGACCTCAAAATGTAGGTGACACAAGGATTGACCAGTGGAAGGAGAAGATGAAGAGCATGTGAATGAACATAAGGCTAGGGAAGGGGTTATGAAAAGGATAGAAACATCTCAGTTCTCCTCTATCAACCCTCTTGATGGTGATCTTTCTTGATTTGGGCACCCATCAACCTTTGGGACAATTCCTCTCTGTATCCAAGCATTTGTGCTCAGCAATCTTCTATCTGGTATCGACCTCTTCTGATCCTCCTCAGCTTCCATTCTTCTTGTTCTCCTTGAAGAAACTCCTAATGGGTGTTTGAACTTTCTTCTTTTGCCAAGATCTGCTATTCTACTCCATCCTCAAGACCTCCACCATCAATGGCTTGCTGATGTCTTTGAGTATTCACCAGTCAGAGCTGTTCATCATGTCCTTGATCTACAGATTCATCACTGAGATCTTTCCCCCCCCCTCTTTCTTTTAGCATCTTCTTGATTTCCGATCAAGAAATCTGCATTGCTCAAAATCAGTTTTCAATACCGGCCCCATGCAGACCATCACTGTCATCGTGGCCACCTTTGCGGTGTCCTTTGTTCTGCTTTGCCAGACCACGGTTGCAAAGCTGAAATAATTTATGTCATGTGGAGAAGGTCCAAGTCTGTATATCTTTAATCTTCATGATGGTCAACTGTTAACTTGACCCACTTCATCTGTAATCGTCTCGTGGGGAAATCAAACATGTGTTGTTTAAGTTCCCTATGAAGATCATTTGTTTATAAGTGTTAAAAAACACACACACACAAAATAGCCTGAGAATGGATGCTTAGAAAATCATGCTGTGAAGGCTGAATGCTTAATAGTTGCTTCTTCCATTTAGGTTCCATCTGACTTCAGAAGAAAAAAAAAAAAGACATAGTTGCCAGTGAAATTTGTGGTTGCGGAAATTAAGGTAATCTGACCCTTTACTAAGATTTTCTTTTCTTTTCTTTAAATATATGTATATGTATGGAGTCATCTAGTCATTGAGGCCAAACTCAAATTCTTGGGCTTTAATTAATTTAGAATTTTTTTGTAAATTTAATTAAAAAAACAGACCAAATTAGCAGTGTTCCAACATCTGAGGAGCTGCCTCAAAGAAGAGGGGTCAACCTATTCTCCAAAGCACCAAAGGCCAGGACAAGAAGCAACGGATGGAAACTAACCAAAGAGAGAAACAACCTAGAACTAAGGAGAAATTTCCTGACAGTGAGAACAATTAACCAGTGGAACAACTTGCCTCCAGAAGTTGTGAATGCTCCATCACTGGAAGTTTTTAAGAAGAGACTGGACAGCCATTTGTCTGAAATGGTATGGGATTTCCTGTCTGAGCAGGGGGTTGGACTAGAAGACCTCCAAGGTCCCTTCCAACTCTGTTATTCTCTTATTCTGTTAATATGAACCTGGACACCAGGTGGTGCTCCATATTATCCAATGTGAACTATGTCGAGGAAATTTCAGTATTAGGGTTACTTTCTAATTGTGTCCAAAGAAAATATGTTATGATACTCTTTTACGCTATGTGGCTGTGTACATTCTAACTTGGATAAAAGCAAAAATGATGCATTTCCCCCGACCCTTATGATTTGATCTCGCAATTCAGCTAAATCTGCAATCAGGCAATATCTCCTGGGACTTTCAGTTATGACATGGTCACTTCATTAAATCACCGCCCAGGCTTTGTGGTCCACCTACAAATCCACCTGCCCTCTGTAAACAACTCTTTCACCACAGTCAAGAAGCCCAGCTATCTAGGAGGGAAGTAGGGACAGGTTGCCCAAGTCAATGGCAACCTTTAATTATTATTATGTAGGAGGGCTAATTCAACGTTCGGGAAGCTCATTCCAACAGCCCAGATCCAGAGGCTGCCTGCTGTGACGCAGATACAAGAAAAACCTTGTGGAAGGATCCACACAAACTCCGATGCACGTTTGTTCAAAGAGTCACTTGGAGCAGGAAAAACCGGAGGCATAAAAACTGAGCAAATAAAACTTAACAGGGCTAGCGCGAAGGACCACATGTCTTGGCACCCCAAGCAAGGAATGAAAGGACCGCAGAAACCACGTCCAGCAACTGTTAGCCAAAGTCATCCTTTCTGCAGGGAGTGGGATTCCCACTTGTGCATTAGGGGATAACTTATTTATTATTTTATATATCAAGTAAATATTTGGATCGGTGCCCTGGAGCAGATTCAGAGGAGACCAAGGAAGACGATTTGAGGGATAGGAAATAGTCTGGGGGAGAGGATCGGGGGAGAAAGGATAGGTTTAGCTTGAAAAAAAACATATTATGGTGGCATTTTTCAAATCCATAAATATGAGTCAATTGCCAAGCATCCGAATTTTGATCCACGGGACCGTGGGGAAACTGCGACGGCCGTAAGCGTGAAACACAGCCGTAAGTCCCTTTTTTAAAAATGTCGTAACTTCAAATGGTCACTGAATGAACCGTTGTAAGTCAAGGACTACTTCTAATTATCCTATTACCAGAAGACAGGTTCCAACTAAATCTTGAGGGCAAAACAAAATATCACTAAATAGTAAAAAAAAACACTTCGGGGATGGGGGGGTGGCGAGGTGCTTCCTACTGGCTGTATTTAAAGCCAGTAAATTTAAAGTAGATAATCACCTTTTCAGGAAGGTTTGATCCAGATTCCTGCACTGATGGGGGGGTGGGGTGAGGCTTGATGGCTGTCGTATTCGTTGTTGACAATGCACAGATTACGCATCCTCCTAAAACTGGCTGCCTGACTCAGGAGCTGCAACAGTGAAGAGTGGTGCAAAACAACAGCACAGATGTTGCAAGCTTTTCATTGCGTCCCTTGCTTTTAAAGCCCTTAGGCTGCACCCCTGTCTCCTAAAGAGCTTCCATTTCTGCAGAATTGCTCTGCCATTCCCCCTTTTTAAAGCCTTTTAGTAGCTATCTCCGCCTCTCGTGGCAATGAGTTCCGCTGTCTCCTTCTTATCTGTTTTAATTGAACAAGATTGCACCAAAGTAAAAATTTAATTTATTTTTTTTGCTCCTCTTCGACTTCCTGGCAAGGAGACGATCCTGGGTTCGCTCCAAGCATTGAGCCAACATGATTGGCTAAGACTCTCCCATCCAAGCAGCCCGAAACTGGCTTGAGGAAGCGTTTGGAGTCCCTTAGATGCGCAATCCGGGTTTTCCTCCTCCCGTTCTCCTATCTGAAACATCAAACTGGGATCCTTCCTGGTTACAAACCCTGGGCTGGGCGGTTCTGTTTCGATCCGCCCACTCTGCCTTCCCTTCCTTCTCAGCTCTCCATCCAACATCTTTCTCAAAGCCAAATAACAAGACATTTCTCTGAAGCCAGCAGGACTCGAACACAGCTCAAAAGAGATGTCATTTTACCTGTCTTCCTCTTAGTGCTTTGTGACTGTGTGTTGTGCTTCACGCTGTCTTTGCAGTTAGCCCAACTTTTTAAAGTTGTAAACATCAGCTGAGGGGCCGCTGACGTCCTTTATTAGTCCATCCAGTTTTGTAAGCAGGGGTGGGTGGGGGAAATAAGATCATGCTTAGATATGACTTTTTCAAGAGAGCAGGGAGGAAATGCTGTCAGCAGAAACACAGGAGGAGGAGGAGGAGGAGGAGGAGGAGGAGGAGGAGGAAGAAGAAGAAGAAGAAGAAGAAGAAGAAGAAGAAGAAGAAGAAGAAGAAGAAGAAGAAGAAGAAGAAGAAGAAGAAGAAGAAGAAGAAGAAGAAGAAGAAGAAGAAGAAGAAGAAGAAGAAGAAGAAGAAGAAGAAGAAGAAGAAGAAGAAGAAGAAGAAGAAGAAGAAGAAGAAGAAGAAGAAGAAGAAGAAGAAGAAGAAGAAGAAGAAGAACAACAACAACAACAACAACAACAACAACCTTAGTGGATTTCACTGGGGCGAAAGGTTATCTGGTTCCAGAAAACCAGCTGTGTTTTTATCCAAGAAAGAAAAAAAAACCCCACACAATTAAACCTGAAACTTTCATTTCTTGCTTCAGGAACGCTGAAAGACGGGATCAAAGGGAGATATTTTTTTTCTCCGAGTTTTGGTAAGCAAGTGTGGAAGGGAGGAAGAGATTGCACAACTTGTTTGCTCAGTTTCAGTGACGCAAGAGCGATTACAAGGAAGGACAGAACGGAGAAACGCCTGGAGGGAGAAATATTTCCTAGCTCATAACAGCAGAAAAAGGACAGAGCAATGGATTCTGTCTTACTCACCGGGCATTCGTGCTACTATGATTATACACAAAAGGCATCAAAAAAAAAAAAAAAAAGAGAGCGAGAGAGAGACCACAAGGTCACACTCCGGTGGGCCTCACGGGAAACCCTGTTCGTTCGTTTTTTTCCCGCCCGCACGATGAACCTCTTTGCAATTTTCTTAATTTCTCAACTGCCCTGTATAATTAAGCGGCAAACAAGTCATCAAATGACAGAGCAAAAAAAATGTTTGCAGAGAAGACATCTGGGTAAAGCCACAATCACGGTTTCACTCTTGCGCACAGTCTCGGGAGAAAACTTTGCAAAGTTCCTGTTCAGCCCCAGTTCGTTTGTTACAAAACCAGCGTTCTTGGGAACTTTGCGACTGGGAGGAAAAGTTGTCTGGGCAAGGGCATCGGCTTAAATCCGCAGGGCGAACCGCGGAGGTGATGTTCGTCAAAAGGATTGTGGGTCGGACGATGTTTTGTTAAGCGCAACCACCTTGCCTTCCAGTTTCCTGGGTATCCCTCTCTCTGCCCAGCCTCTATTTTGCTGATCAAGTCTCTCTTTACTGTTAATGGGTAACTGTTTCCATGGTGACACTCCAAGTGTCTCCCAATTCCGGATGTGTGTCTTTTTTAAAAAAAAAATAAATAAAGGAAATTAGCAACACTCAAGATGGGGAAGAGGACCTTTTTGGTAGCCTGTGCGAAACTCACCAGGCTGTCACCAAAATAGGAGAAGACGAAGCATTGGGCTTGAGGTTAGACGATTCTCAAGGCCATCTAGTTGACCCCTCTAGATCAGGGGGTCTTCAAACTTGGCCCCTTTATGACTTGTGGACTTCAACTCCCAGAATTCCTCAGCCAGGCATCTCCATCACTGGAGATTTTTAAGAAGAGGCGCTAGACAATCACTTGTCTGAGATGGTGTAGGTTCTCCTACTTGAGCAGGGGGCTGGACTAGAAGACCTCCAAGGTCCCTTCCAGCTCTATTCTCTATTCCTGCTTAAGAATACTGCCTGGACTTGCTGCCCTGTTCTTAGTGGGTGGTTCGGTCAGCCTGGTCTGGTAATGATCATCCTTAAGAGAATTTATGCTAGGCAAAGCCAAGGATACTTATTTTTTTCTTCAGCTTCTCAAGTTACCTTTTTGAGAAAAATGCCGGGAGCTTTCCACAGAGGTCTGTTTTTCTGAGTCCTGAATTATGCCTCGGGCTCGGTTGCTGGGTGTTTGTTCTCCCCGAAGAAAAATGCAATAAATAGCAGAGCAGTGACCTTGCTTTTGAAACTCCATAACTAAGCTTCTTGTCTTGGTCTCTAGGGTTAAAGGGGGGGGGGATTTGGGTTTGTTGAAGCATTTAAGAACCTGTAATTACGCAGAATGAAACGAGAGTCTGGTCGGTCGGAGGAACCCAAGGGGAAGGCAAAATAATTTTGGCTGCAACCACACCTTCCGCTGTCTCCCTAGGAGGTCAAAATAACAGAATAGCAAGGAAAGGACCTTGGAAGTCTTCTAGTCCAACCCCTTGCTCAAGCAAGAAAGCCTGTTTCAGACAAGGTCCCTGCTTGCTGGTCCCAGACTGGGCTGCCCGGCATTAGGGAAACTTTGCTGACTTGAAAACGGGATCACAGGATCACAACGTACAGGACAACTGCTTGTGGCTCTTTTCAACAGCCAGTAACTCGTTTTGGGGTTCCTATTGTAAGCCAAGTCCCCGTTGCAAGTTCCTTCTGTCCCACTCCTTATCTCAAATCTTAAAAACACCCCACTGACGTCAAAGTCCAACATCCAGACCGGAGTGACAGATCTTTGTTTAGCCAAGGAGAGATGAAACAAAGTGCAAGCTTTGAAGTCCTCCAGAGCTTTCCATCAAGCAGAACATCTTTTCTGACAGTGCCAGCTTATGCGAGATGTAGCATTCACCGATGCTGAAGTGAACGGCAGCTCAGAAAGCTGGTGTTTTTTTAAAAAAATAAAATTGGAGATGGAAAAGTGGTCCCAGATCTCTCCTGATTTATTTATTTATTTATTTATTTATTTTGCCATCATAGACTAAGACAAGTTTCCTTGTATGGTAGAATGTCCAACAAGAAGGATGCCATTACTGTGTAGATAGTTGGATGGATGGATGGATGGATGGATGGATGGATGGACAGATAAATAGATAAATAGCAACAGATAAAGGTAGAGATAATGTAGAGAACAGGTAGAGGATGGAGGGATAAATAGAGATAGAGATAAAGAGAGATAGAGAACAGATATATAGATAGATTTAGAAAGAGATATAGAAAGAAAGAAAAAGGAAAGAAAGAAAAAGAAAGAAAGAAAGAAAGAAAGAAAGAAAGAAAGAAAGAAAGAAAGAAAGAAAGAAAGAAAGAAAGAGGATTTTGAATCTCCTCCACCTTGGTAAGTAGAATTTTTTTTTTTCACTTGTAACTGTTCTAAATACAGGAGGGCTTCCAGGAAGTCAGCTGGCCAGCTGCAAAAACCTGGAAAGTTCATTTAATCTTCTCCCAGGTTTGGTGCTTTCTGCAAATAACAAAAGCAAAATTATGGGGAGGGGTTAGGAGGGCAGAGAATTTACATTCTGGAACTTGGGCATCCCAAAAGACCAAAGTATACCCTTTGTAAAAAAAAAATAAAACAAAAACCTGAAGGGCGGCATCTGGCTATTTGCAAAGGATTCTTTCAATTTACCCAACCACCCCCAGTCCAAATAACTTTTGCTATTCCAGTGGACTTCCTTCCAGCTCTGGATAAACGTTGACTGGATTAGGGAAAACCCAAAGGGCAAGGAAGCAGTGGGCCCAGAAGGAGTAAACATCGTAAAAAGATTAAGCAAATTTCGTTAGCTCTGCTGGAGGAATCTCTGGAATAGCCAGTCGGTTGAAGCCTGATGGATGTTTAGTCAGAAGAATGTCTAGCAAGCTTCTTTTCGGCAAAATTGGTTTCTACAATGATTAAGCTCGCTTGGAACCGCCTCTGCAGGACTATAAAGTGATAAAAATAAAACCACTTTTCAGAAATGCCAACCATTTCTGACAAGTGGCTGTCCAGTCTCTTCTTGAAAGCTTCCAGCGATGAAGCTTCCACAACTTCTGAAGGCAACTTGGTTGATTCGTCTCACTGTCAGAAAATCTCTCCTTATTTCTAGGTTGAATCTCTCCTTGAACAGTTTCCATCTGTTATTCTTTGTCTGGCCTTCACGTCCTTTGGAAAATAGGTTGTCCCCACCCCCCTCTTCTCTGTGACAGCCCCTCAAATATTGGAAGACTGCTGTCACATCTCCGCTGGTCCTTCTCTTCACTAGACAAGACATACCCAGTTCCTGCAACCGTTCTTCCTATGTTTTAGCCTCCAGTCCCCTCATTGTCTTTGTTGCTCTTCTCTGAACCCTTGGGGGTGAAGCATCAAGGTTTGGAAGTCGCACAAACTCAACCCCTGCAGGTTGTAAGTCCTGGATGAAGGCCTGGTGTGTTGTCCTCATTTGACTAGGGTTGTTTCAGCCAACGAAGCAAGTTTGAGAAAACATGGCTTAGCAAAACTTCAAAACTTCTTCTTAAGCAACTTCTTTCTGGTGACTCATTGACTGATGGAAGAAAACAGGCAGGGTTGCTAGCCAACCTAGCCACTGGGCAATCTTCGGTCGGCCTATAAGTCAAATTAATTAATTAGTCAGTCCGAGCTGCTCAGCTCAGAGCTTGACTTAAATTCTCTTTTCCTAGTCTCTCAAGAGATGATCTAACCAGTCAGTTAGATCAGTTCCTCAAGGAGGAGTCCAGCATTCGTCAGCTGAGGGACTCAGTGCACGTGAAGTTCCTCTTCAAGTTTTAATGTCAGCAAGTCTGTCGAATAGTCCCCATCCCTAGTGAACCTCATGCCATGTGATTAGAAAACAACAGATGTTTACAACAGTTTTTTTTTCTTTTTCTTTCCCCTGGTTTCCCATTATTGTTATTTTCCTTTGTATTTTATATCTTGATAAGCTAATACAAATTTGAAACGGGGGAGGGGAGAAAGAAACTCTGGATTTCGGTGGCCGGCTGCCTGCTGCTGAACTATCCTAAGGATTGTTAAGTAAGGAAATGTAAGATGATTTCACCTTTCCAGGAAGAAAAAAAAAGCTATGTCTCTTCGACAAGAAGCTTGGTTGTGCCTTCAAGCCATGTTCCACCTGAGCACTAGCAGCTGGGATTGCAAAGTTCTCCACCCTGAGGTCATAGCCAGCCAGCCATGACGAAAAGACAAGGTGGTTTAATATTTTGGACTCAAGGCAACATCCTTCTAGCATCCGAGAGGTGAGCTTAAGGAAAGGACAGTTATTCCACTGAAACGCAAGGTCTGGTTTCCAGCGTCAGGTTGCAAAACATCGGACGCTAGATTGCAGAAATGCTGAAGCCAGTTTGTGGATTTGCGTTGATCTCAGTGGCCTACCTGGGCTAAGGGTCTGTCTTAGCCTGAGGCACCTTCGTCTGCTCCTTCCATTCATGAAGCGCCAGCTCCAAATCAAACACAAGAAGCCATTCTCTGCATCTCCAAGTTGCAACTTGTCCCAAAATGGCATGCTTTGGAGGTAGCAGTTGACTGGGACAACTGCCGACAACTCCACCCACCCAACTGTGAGAAGGATAGCAATAGCGCTTAGACTTATATACCACTTCACGGGGCTTTACAGCCATCTCTAAGCGGTTTACAGACTCAGCATCTTGCCCCTCAAACTATCTGGGTCCTCATTTTCCTGATGTCAACCAATTCTCCAAAGCACCTGAGGGCAGGACAAGAAGCGATGGATGAAAAATGAATCAATCAAGCTAGAACTAAGGAGAAATTTCCTGACAGTGAGAACAATTAACCAGTGGAACAGCTTGCCTCCAGAAGTTGTGGGTGCTCCATCCCTGGACAGCCATTTGTCTAAAATGGTACAGAGTCTCCTGCTTGGGCAAGGGGGTGGACTAGAAGACCTCCAAGGTCCCTTCCAACTCAGTTATCCTGTTACTAACTGCAGCTCTTTGGGTTCCAGTCCAAGACTGCTACCCCTCACCCATTTCTGAAGCCCTTTCTCCTCCAAGGTCACGTCTATCTCTGGGCCGGTTGCAAAACCTCATCGTTCTTCTGCGATGTAATCTCACTGAACTTTTGCCAATATCAAAGAATGGCGTTTACTTTGCTTCAGGCTCCACCATCCTGTTCCTTGGTGTATCCTTGGAGGTGACACCTTCCACCCGGGCTTTCAATATTTGTTGTACCTGCCCCACAAAGGGTACAAGGTGAAGGCAGAAGCACCCTTGTTCTTCTTAACCTTCACAGACTCTCTCTGCTTGGGAGAAAAGCTTCTGTAGACTGTGTTGGATCTGGAGAGAGAGAGAAAAAAGTTCCCTGAAGATGGGCTCCAGGACGAGCTCGTAAACTTGGAAGAATGAACCTTGTTCCCGGTGACTGACTGAGATAGGATTCCGTGTTAAGACTGTTGGAAAGTGATGAGCAGGTTGCGTTCTCCGGAAAGACTTGATCTGCCTTCTGCTCTGCCTCTCAAAGCAGTTTGCTAAAATCTGCCAAACTAATTTCCTGAGAGTGGTTAGTAGTGAAAAGTGAACTGGTGAGAATTCCACCATGGCAATTCCTCATTCACAGACGTAAGAACTTGGTGCTATCCGGTTGTGTTTGGACCAAGAGACTGGACAGCACTTGTCTGGAATGATAGAATAGAATAGGGAATAGAATAGAGTAGAGAGAGTAGAGTAGAGTAGAGTAGTTGGAAGGGACGTTTGAGGTCTTCTAGTCCAACCTTCTGCACAAACAGGAGATCCTATATCATCCAGGACAAATGGCTGTCCAGTCTCTTCTTGAAAACCTCCAGTGATGGAGCACTCACAATTTCTGGAGGCAAGTAGTTCCACTGGTTAATTGTTCTCACTGTCAGGAAATTTCTTCTTAGTTCTAGGTTGCTTCTCTCCTTGATTATTTTCCATCCGTTGCTCCTTGTCCTATATAGGACATCAATATAGGATCTCCTGCTTGAGCAGGAGGTTGGACTAGAAGACCTTTAAGGTCCCTTCCAACTCTGTCTATTCTATTCTATTCTATTCTATTCTATTCTATTCTATTCTATTCTATTCTATTCTAACCTTTGGATTAACTATTTCACCCATATGCTTGGGTTTTTCCTTCCAAATTATGGGACGTTCTTTCTGCTAAGTAAAATTCTTAGAAGGTACAGAGTTGAATTTGGATGGCAATGAAATCTAAAAGATATCAATAACAATATAAAAAGTGCAGTCTGGTGTGAGAGGGGAAGGAGGAGTCGGAATTTGATTCAAAAACAGCTCAACAATTCAAGGACAATGAGACTATTTTAGAAGTCCTTTTAAAGAGTCCCGCAGTGATAAGTCAGTGGAAATATTATCAACGAATATACGTTATCAGCCATCCACAGCTGCAATTCAAGATTTGATTTGTTCTTTCAGCACTGTTAAATAATTTTCTGGACTCCGTGTCCTTGATATGCTGATAACTTCTGTATCCTGGCAACTCAGCCTTTTAGAGGGAGCCGAGGAAATACACGTACCCACAAAAGGCAGCGGAGGCATTTTCACACAACACCCGATTACTGACATACTGGACTTCGTTAGATGTACAGAGCATGATGAAGGCTACTTGAACCAAGCCCAGCAGATAAGGCCACAGAGGATGCTAACCTAGGTTATTAGGGCTGCTAAGGTTTTCATTGCCCTGCCTAAAGGCGGTTGTGTGAACTCCAGCCAGTCAGTTTGCAGAACCAGATACAACACTCATAGCTCAGGATTCACTTTAAACCATGGTTGGCAAGCCACCAAGGCTCGGCTCATACAGGCAAAGCAAGCAATCCACATTATAATCAGTGCCATGGATGGACCTAACTCATGACTTTATTTACGTTCCTAGTCCTTTGAAAAACAACATCATAGCTTAATAACAGAATGACAGAGTTGGAAGGGACC